GAACCGCAACTCTAAGGACTTGGTAGGGCTTAGGGTGAATCACTTGGAACACGCCGATCTGCCTACTAGTTCCAAGCGCAACAGAAGGACTGAATCATGCCTTGCCTCATATGCTCTGCTCCGGTCTAGTTACTGCACGACCGTTGATCCGAGAATGATCGAGCGCTCTTCCTTGGTGGGGGGATCAACATGTTTACACAAATCCACATATTCATCGAGTAGATCATGATCCACTTCGCCTCTCTGTGCTAATAGAGGGTATCACAGGGGTATATTTGGAATAGTTGAGATTGACATAGATGACGACTCCTGTCTGTTATTTATGGCCTCCTTTGGGATCAATGGCTACGGTAGCCGTTATTTATTAAGGCATGAGTTCTCAAAGCTCCTTGGTGTCCTGGTACGGTGTAAGATCCATAGGTTAGTCGACGGTCACTATATAAAATATGCCAAACTCCTCGCTTTCAGCGAAATCATGCCCTACAAGAGAGATAATAAACGGTTTGTTTCCGAAAGTTCATCAGATCCTACGCTTGAGCTAACATGTTAACTAGAGGAAGCGATCACCTCATCAGAAAAACCATATAGCTTGTCTAGTAACGATCAAGCCAATGACTGCCATTCCTCCGACAGTCAATCAAGCACATCTTCTCGTTGGAGCTGCTGTCATATGGAATCGAAAACCGTGGTGGCCTTTGAACCACACGATCCAGATCACCCTAATAATTGGTCAAAGGTACAGTAGAACTGTCCGAAATCAAGAGCTTCCTACAGCATAATATCTCCATACTAATGGACTAGTTTTGGAAAATATTTGTGCTTGTTACTGGTGCAAATGAGGTCATGAATAGCACTGTCGGTTCCTCGGTCACAGGCGGAGCTACAAAAGCAATCGCCCAGGAATTTAGCGTGACGAATCAGCAGATCCTCGTCTTACCGATTTCTGTATTCCTCGTCGGCTATATTCTAGGGCCTCTGTTATGGGGCCCTTTTTCGGAGGCTAAGGGACGAAGGTACCCGTTATTGATAGCTTTCTTGTTATATACCGTCTTCATGATGGCATCTGCCCTGGCAAAGTCGTACCCATCTTTGCTTACCCTCAGGTTGCTCGATGGAATGGCTGCTTCTGCGCCTATCGCTATCGTTGGCGGCATCTATGCCGATATAGAGGCAGATCCTACGGCTCGTGGTCGACTCATGGCGTATTACATGACGGTAAATACCCTATCTTCAGTACCTAGTACTGTTGGTAGTATTTGTTGGGATATTAACCAACCTTCATAGGCTACAACTATTGGACCCGTCCTCGGGCCTCTAGCGTCAGGTTTCCTCGTGAGTTACGGCTGGAGATCGTGTTTTTGGTTTGGTCTCGCGTATGCAGCCATTAGTCTACCTATGGCTTTCGTGATGCCTGAAACATACGCGCCTATAATCCTTCAACAAAGAGCTAAGAGATTACGGAAGGAGACGGGTAATCCAGATATAGTATCGCCGTTGGATCTCGGTAGTCGAGATCTTAAACGAACACTCGTTATCCATTTGGCACGGCCGTTGCGAATGTTGTTCTATGAGCCCATCGTATCTTGTTCCTGTTTATACCTCGCCCTTACCTACGCAATATTTTATCTCTACTTTCAGGCCTATCCATTGGTTTTCCAGGGTTAGTGACACTTCCGCCTGCTTCCCATCCTGCTTCATGGCGACCATTCCCCGACAGATTCTCCCAGCTACAACTCACTAACCTGGAAATGAATGCAGATATCTACGGAATGGACCCAGCTAAATCTGGACTTTGCTTCCTCCCAAGTGAGTGTCATGAAGCCTGAGATCCCGAGAACAGTACTGATTCCCCAGTGCAGTCGGTGTCGGCGCTGTAGTTGCTTGCGTGATATTCATCTGGTACGACAAGTTTTTATCCCGCGCAAAAGCCCGGAATGTGAAATGGGCCCATATTGAAGAATACCGTCGTCTTCCTCTTGCTTGCCTCGGAGGGCCATTATACGTTGTAGCTATCTTCTTCATGGGCTGGACAGCTTTTCCCAGCGTTCACTGGTCGATTCCTGCATTATCGGGGATTCTGTTCGGGGCGGGATACCTGTTGAATTTTATGGCCATGGCCAACTATATGGCCGACGCGTACGAGACCTACTCTGCTAGCGCTATGTCCGCATCTGCTTGTACGCGGAGTATTTTGGGGGCTATGTTGCCTTTAGCGACCAAGCCAATGTTCGATCGCCTTGGGGTAAATTGGGCATACACTCTTGTTGGCTTTTTGAGCCTTGGAATCACCGTAATTCCATTTGTCTTCATTCGTTATGGAGCTCGTATCCGAGAGAGCAGCAAGTTCTGTCAAGAGCTCAAGCGGTTAAAGGAGACCGATGCTCAGGGACCACCAACGGATCGAAGCGTGGGAAGGTCGGGTGAGGTTTCCACGATTCATGTCGAGCCCAAGGACCTGGAGAATCAGAGCGATCGGTTGTAGCTACGCTCGTCTGACTTCGAGCGACACCCAAGTTGATGGTGTATAAAAGAAACAAAACCAATTGATCAAATTCGAGAAATTCATCTTAATTCTTTTTCTTACTCTGCTTTTTTTCCTTCCAAATCCCCCATGGTCATGAGAATTCTGGTATGTATGTGAATAGGTAGTATCTCCAGATTAGATCTTCTCTTGCACGGATTGGAGAAGTGGCAGTGATATGGAACTTACATGCTCCTTGCTCATCCTTAGTCTCGGGATGAGTGGGGAAATTTGGATTGGAGAGGGGAACTGTGGCATTCCTTCGCGATGTCGACAAAGTTAGTTACTATTTTTGTCTGCTTATCAATGTCCAAATGTTGGCTTTCGCACTGCAGGCTGATGTACCTGTGGCTGAGCAGTGCAGATTTACGAACTTCTCGCTTGCAAGTGAGATTTTCAGGTGCAAAGAATCGCAACTTAAGTGGAGAGAGCCAATCACCCCTGTTACTTGCAGATTCAAGGGCCAATCCCAGAGCACGGGCGCGGATGATTTACAATCTAAAGGGAGACCGTTTGTTTTCTTGCAGCTTCATTTAATCCCCCTGCCTCTCTCTTTTTTCCTTTCTTTTTTCTTCTTCTCTTCCTTCTTCTTCTCCGATATCGTACGGTTAAACTGTCCTATCTACCACTTATCCTCTTGATATTCTGGTTGCTGTCCTTCGTTTATCAGCATTTTGCCTTTCCCTTACGGCTTTAATCTCCCTCAATCGGTCGTTCTAATATTGTTATATATTCTTGACTTATATTAATACTATTGATTATTGCTACCAGCAGGACACCTCTGTTATCTATATCCTATGTGAGCTATTGGTCTCTTCCAGGGCCTGTATAGTATTACTAGATCATATCTCGTATATTTCGCAAGAGACGAAACATGGATTCGCCTCAATATCAGGAGCTTGGACTTGTGTCTCAGGAGCAACAGCCGACCGATCACGAAAACGTGCGAGCGACTTGGAAATTCCTGGCGGGCTTATCGTCGAACTTGACGCTGGTGGGGTATGTTTTCTTCTGCCCTCCTATGTATTCACGATCTGATGACGGACATGCCATCGCAAAGGTTTCTCGTCATGCCTCTAGCATTTGAAGACGCCAAGGATGATTCTCGTGGAGACAAGACAGGCACAGCTGTAGCAGCATTGGCATTAATCGGAAATGCATACCTTCTGTCGCTCATCTTAATCGGCGCCCAGTATCGTAAGCGTACATACTTGATTCATTCTGTCTTCCTGTAAATGCCCGACGTGTTTTTCCCCTTCTTGGATTGCAATCTCACCACCACGCAGACCTTGTCTATTCTCCAACCTCCTCGGACTGTTGAATGTCGTTCTTCATATTTTCTGTCGAAAGTTACTCCCCATCGGCCGATTGGCAACAGTGGGCATGGTTCTTGCCTCTATATTCGCAGTCGTCTACGCGTTATGCGCATTATGGGCATATGGAAGAAGCATCGCCGATGATATTCGAGTCGACGAGTCCGACCGTACAATGATCCCTTTGACGGAAGAGGAGATGCAGCGACAACAGCTCCTCCGGCTTCTTCAAGAAAATCAAGATAAAAAGCGATCGAGCTCCAAGGTTATGCAAAAGACTTTCAGGGTTAAAGTTCCGGAACACATCAATCCCGGGAAAGGATGGGATTCTTTCATGCCTCCTCCTCGCGAGAACAATTATTATAGCTGAGTTGGTCAGCCTACGTGCATATAAATGAAGCGAGGTGATGGGGTAATATACTCCGAAATATCCTGGCTCTTCCTTGACTGGTCAGCGGATCGTGTTCATCACTACCAAGCGCATACCAGGTTTCACATCTCCAGTCTCTGATCGTCTAAGGATAAGAGACTAACCAAGTATGGCTTACACGATACTTCACACCAATGTAGGCATGCAGTGCAGCACACCGTATCCGACAAGACAGAGTTCGAAAAATCTACGGGGGCTGCGAATGTGTTGGGAAGACGAAGGCCAACCAATAACGTTGATGCTGATCTACCGAGGATCTTTCTATAATCTGATACCTTCTTTCGACCCTGATCCAGATATCACATGCTTTCTGCAGTCGTGCTTACAGCAATACAGAAACTCTGTATGTCTACTCTATTCCCTAGATTAAAAAGAAGTCAGTGCTCTGTGAAGCGAGTCTTCTCGATCGTGTAGACGAGGGTATGAGAAAAGAATAGAAGAAAAGAGAAGAACAAGACTGGGTGGGTTGGGAGCAACCAAGTTGTTGGTTCACTGGTAGTTCTTCATAGCTTAGAATGCCGACGGAGATTCGGCACGCAACCATGGAAGTTGAAACAGGAACGCCTCGGTAGTTACCCGATTAGGAATCTCCTGCCCGCGTCATCCACGGAGTCAAGAAGTCCTCCCTCAACCTTTTTCCCACTCCCCCATGAATTCAATACATTGCCTCCATCGTTATTCACTGTTCATCTGATCTCCTTCTGTAGAACTATCCGGTTATCATCTAAACCCAGTCATGGCGAAAAGGGTGACTCTCTTTGAACCTCCCCCGCTAGATTCTTCCAAAGCCCCCATCGAAAATGTCTTGGAGTTAACGCCTGTGATAGATATTGGTCCGGTACGTGTGTCCAAATCCGCACCACCTACCTTGCTCTGTCTCTAACCATTCTATTCCTATCGACAGGATGTCTTTACCAATACTCGTCCTCTCTGGCACCCACCTGGCGCGCGGGGCATCTACGGTGGTGCGGCAATCGCCCAGTCACTCGCCGCAGCGATGCGGACGGTTCCGTCGGATTTCGCCGTCCACAGCATGCACTGCTATTTCGTCCTCGCAGGCGATTCCGAGATCCCCATTCTATACCATGTTGAGCGAGTGCGCGATGGCAGGAGCTTCATCACGCGCACTGTTCAAGCCAGGCAACGCGGTCGACCGATTTTCACCACCACCTTGAGTTTCAGCAGGGCCAACAGTGGTGGGAAGAAGAAGCTGGAGCATGCGAAGTCAATGCCTGTTGTCACGCTGCCAGACGATTCTTCTGCGGATGCACAGAGGAAGCTTTATAACGTTGGAGGCGGGCCATTCGAGTCGCACAAACTCGGGACTGTGAACCGTAAGCATCATGACCTGCGTGCTATGCTACAAGTGGGATGAAGTTCCAGTCATGCTAACGGGCCCAGGGGATTCGTCAAAGCCGGAGGAGAAGCGAATCCGACGCTGCATGCGCGCACGAGGAAACATCTCCGAGGCCGGCGGCCACCACGCCCATCTTTCCGCCCTCGCCTATGTGACCGATAGTTATTTTGTCGGAACTGTATCGCGCGTCCATGACATCCCTCGATTTGCCTCCCCCGCCGAACTCAAGGCAGCCCTAAACGCACTCAAGAACCCATCCGACTTAGATGATGACGAAATCTCACGAGCGTTTAAGGAGTTGAAGGACGAAGAAGCCGCTGAATTGCGCCGTCGGTTGGAGGGCGCCCTCAGCAAAGCCGAGGACCCGAAGAACAAACACAACCATAAAGAGGTCGGCATGATGGTCAGTCTTGATCATTCGATTTACTTCCACAATCCTTGGGCGTTTCGCGCAGACGAGTGGATGGTCACGGAGATGGAGAGCCCTTGGGCTGGCGAGGGGAGGGGTTTGGTCCTCCAGAATATCTGGTCTAAAGATGGAACATTAATCGCCACCTGCACGCAAGAGGTATGCTCCCTATCATTCGTTTGTTGATTCCCGGTCTGTTGTCGAATGCGATTCACTAATGCATGGTCGGTATAGGGTGTTGTAAGGTTAAAACAAGATGAGCCGCCTCGGTCAAAGATATAGACCGCTGCACTGCATTGAACAACACCAAATACCCTTTCATCTTGTTGGCGATACATATTTCTGAACTAGACTTTTCCGTTTGCTTTTTGGTTATAATACATTATTGCATAGACATTCATCACATATATCCTTTCGGGTGCTTCCTGTCCCCCAGTCTACATTTGTATACATCATTCTTTGTACATACGTTTGAATTGATCACTTCGGCTTATCTTTGAGGTGTTGAAATCGATCTTCTTTCATATATATCTTGCAGCTATAGCATACATGGATTGAACAATTCTCGTCTGCCCATCATGAAATCACGGTGGCAAAAGGAAGAAGAGAAGAGAAAAGGAAAAGAAAAAACGAAGCAACCATGACAGCATTTGATGCAAAAAAAAAAAGAAAAGAAAAGAAAGGAAAATGAGAACGCTTTCGCAAAAAAAAGATCAGAGTGCCACCCACCCGTTTTAGCCCAAAACAATGCCCCCGATGCAAGAAAAGGAAAAGAATAGTGCTACAAGTGTCGTGACCCTCCCAATTACACCTCCATCATTCCTACCTCTTCCTTCAGCTTCTCTTCCTCTCGGCTTCGCTTCTCACAGAACTCCAACGCCTTGGCCCCCCAAACTTCCCTTCCTTTGTATTCGCCGACATAGTCCGGCCAACTTTTGATTTCTTTAGCCAGATTTCGCAGTTCCTGCATTGGAAGTTCATTCAAGGTGGTAAGGAACGTCTTGACGCCGAAAACAAGTGTTCCAGTCCGAGGCAGTCTACGGAAGGTCTGTCGCTCACGGCGGATGACGATATCCTCAGGGGATGGGTTGGGGTTGTCCTCAAACAATGTCGTAGGACGATAAAGGGTCTCAAACAAGTCTTCATCAGAGCGCTTCACTTCAACAAAATAGTTTGACCGTTCCATTGGTGAAGATGGCGTAAGGCGGTTCAAGAACCTTATTGGAAGTCAGCTTCCCATCTTCTTTATAAAGCATCATATCCACTCACTTGCTAACAGAAGCGGCGACTTGCTGATGCCACAGAGGCACGGGTTCATGAAGCCGCGAGATTGTCCATCCAATTCGTTCCTGAACAGTCCATCCCACCGGAAAGAGGCTTGCACTGGCGGCCCTGCCTTGTTGGTCAGTTGTCGTTACCCTGAAAGTAGGCCAAGGAGGGTCTCTTCAAACTAACAAGTAGTACTCGTCGTCCGCATTCTTCATTAAGATGCTTAGGTCTTCCATGGTCAGTCTCACCGCTATCTCAAGCGGATCGACCTGCTTGTTTTGACCCCCAAAAACGAACGTTTCGCCGGTCACCTTGTTGTGAACGGTCGACTCGTCGCCGGACCTCTTATGTTCGAATTTGTCTGGAAACCGCTGACACAGGAAATCAACCACCTCCTCCAACGCTTCAAGGCATGCTTCATATGACTCTGGGAGGCATTGTAGGACCTTTTGCTTTTCTTGTTGCAGCAATTGACTCCGGACCTGATGCTCCGCCATGTAGTTCTTGTCGATGGTAAGCCAGTTTTGGGCATCCAGTTTCCGGATATCCATCATAACTCTATATCTCTCCCTCCCTTTGATGGGAGGGGGCTTAAGATCCTCGCAACTAACATCTTGTGGACGGTGTTTGGGCTGAAGCCAAGGAAAATAATTTCGGAATCTAACAGCAATGAAGGACAGAAAAAGAAATAAAAATCCAATGCATGAAAGGGTATTCATCGCCTTTTTTACCCGGAATCCAATCAATATAAGAAAAGGAAAGAAAAAGGAAAAAAGAAAGAAAGGATGATGTTAAGGAACTTTTGGTTGTCTCTCACTCATCGAACGCCACGACCAGGAATCACTGTTAACGTCAACATGGCAAAACCTTCTTCGGAAGAGGGCAATGGCTGGAAATTTATCTCGTCCATGGACCCTAAGAAACGATGATCGTCTGGGTCAGACGATTACCTACAAAGGCTACAATGGCTTCTACATTCCTGATTCAGGCAGCTGGGTCGAACTCTGATACGTCCTGGACTTCCCCGCAAAAAGCCGCAATTCGCCGCTCCAAAAAAAAAAAGAAAAGAGAAAAAAGAACTGACAGCATCCACATGATCTAGTAGACTTTCTCAGCTATCATAGCAATTGAGCTTCAGTGGGTCCTGGGACGGGGGTGGATGAGAAAGTCAGGGTAAGTGAACTCTAAGTGGATCAGGGAAGGGCCAGGCAAATGGACTCAATGTACGGAGTACAGCGCCTCAAGATCCGCAGCTGGGGCACTACTCGGAGTCCTTGAATCGGCCGTACAATTGCATTACCAGGATGCTCCCCTCCTCGAACTAAGTACGAACTGACTAGCTTCATGGCCCGTCCGATCGAAAGGGCTGAGGGTATCTCTGCTCTTCGTCAGCCGGAGTTCACGCGTCTACCGTCCGTGCGCATAAGAATGAAAGGCCTCGTGAGCTAAACCAAGAGCCTGACTTAGGGACTGTCTCTACTGCCTAACAGTTCCTGCAGTTCCGCTCCAGCAACACTCGACTTGATTTCCGAAAGGCAGATGCAGAATGCCAATAATGGCATCATGACATCAACCTGGGATTACAAAAATTAATTAGAAATAGCGCAGGGTGGCACGTTTGCGTGGTGACTGGCCTGGTATTGCAGAAACCCATACATCGTGCTAACCAAGCGCACTTGTACGACAGAATGAATATTGCCTGGGAGCTTCTGGGGCACAGCGCATGCGTCGATGCGTGGGCCGAGTCCCAATTTGGTGGTTGATGGTCACACAGTTCTAGAGCGCCTGTTGTCATAGGTCACCGGGCTGTGGATGGAATCCAGTCCAGGTACCACTGTACATCATGTTCACTGACGTGCTGGCATGCTAGTCATTCGGAGTACTACGACTGGTCCATCTTCTCTGGGCGACCGTGGCACTACCCTCGAGACTAGGATCAGAAGAGAAGGTACGGGGCCGACACTGACGTACCATGAGGGACAAGTCCTTACAGTCTTTCGGTCCCCGCGAAGCTATAGGAAGACTAAACATGCTAGGGTGGTGCACTGTAGGTACGCCCCAGCCAGTGGGGAACCTCAACTAACTACTTATCTACTTCGGTACGAATGTATGCACATCCATACTATGGAAGTGCGCACTTACTCAGTTGACGATCCACCACCAAGGGCCCAGAATTCGGGTTTCTAAGACAGTCGGTTTGGTTGGGCGACTCCACCCTCCCCGAAACTGAAGATATCTGGGGTTTTGCGCTGCAACCGCCTTATCTCGCGCAAAGCGCGCTTGCCGCAATCCTGCTTGGTTTTTAGTAAGAATCAACAATCAATGGTGTACTAGCCAGCCCCCTAGTATAGCGGTGTCTCATCCAAGAATGCGCTTTTTTTTCCTGCTGCCCACTTCCCATTTTGACGATGTAGGTGGCCTTTTCTCCCCTCGCATTTTACTTTGATTTTTGCTTTTTCCTGCATCTTTCCTTTTTCTGGCATGATCGGACGAGATTTTACGCCTCATTTGCTGTCCCTTTCTTCCCTACTTTTTCTACCTTTTTTCTTTTTTTTCCTCTTTCCCTATTTTTATCCTTTTTTTTTAACCTTTCACACCCTCGCTCACAACGTATTCACACAGACTAGTATCCAAACCCTCCGATTGAACTACGTTTGACTAATGACGTCGATATAATTGCTTTTCTCGGGCTACCAACCTGCAATCAATGGCCAGAGCAGCTACGGCACGACCTAAGACTTACTTATGAGCCCCTCTTACCTAGTCTGACTGTACTGAGCCCATAAAAGCAGAGATACCAAGGCTAAATAGTGGTCTTACTCACCGTGCACGAAAGCATCACTCTTAACTAGCAATGATCCACTTGTCAATGGGGCATTCGCAACCCACCGACCAAACGGCTTTCCTCCATTATAAATGATGGACTTGTCTAGACAGGCCTGGTAAACTCAGTCGAGACCCTTCTCCTCGAGTCTCCTCGGCGATATCCTGTCTAATAGGAGGAATATACTGGGGCCGATAGTGGGACACCTACTCGTGCTAACCTTCTCCAGTATCTAGGGACTGGGGCTGTGGGCACGGACTTCGCTTCAAGGCCATTGTCAAGGCCTCATGTGGCTCCCAAATTCTCCCTAGAATGGGGCCTCTCGGCGGATATCCTCCATTTGGCTTCAGAACTGGGCCCATTAACGTAACTATGATTTTCGGAAGAATTGTCCACTCAATCGAGCATCTCACACAGTGAAAGTAGAATTCAACATTTCGCTATTATCGCTAAATGAAGTGCACACCATCTAAAGCCATGCATCGATGCATTATGTCCTCTGTACTGACAACAAAGTACTCCGTATTCAACCACACACCTACCTATTCTGGAAAGCCACAGGAGAACATCTCGAGATCTACCACCCATATAGAGATTTTACCTAGCTGCCTGATATATCTATCCCCGTCGTAAACCAGAATCCCACACCACTAGAGCAGGATAACATGAATCGAACCAAAACACAAGTACATACATGAATCATGCAATCTAGTAACGAATCCTTCTCTCCACTACCTCCACCCCAAGTAGCCAAGTCAACTAAGTTACCCTCTAAAGGTAGATCCTAATAAGTGAAACCATTGCAGATTCCCGCCGAATACTAAACAAATAGCGTATCAGTTCCTCAAGACACACTCTATTACCTAAGTGTGCGAGACAATCTCCTCTTCGATGGAAGTTTACCTATAGGAGAGACTGGAACAGAACCCACCCGCTCACCTATATTCCATTTCCTTCCGTTGACCACCTGAAGGGTAGTTATTCCGTCTTCTTTATAGCATCAAGTAGGGTTTGAGCTTATGTTTGCTCCATCCTTGTCTTACGGATTTGAGTTATATTTTTTTTCTACTTCCCTGAGTTGACGTTGGATTGGAGATGTATATTGATTCTTATTTACCCTCCTTTTGCCACGTTCTTACAGGGGAAACATCCAGAAGGGAAACGTGGGGTTAGTTATTGGGCTGGCTGATGATTTTGTCCTTTATGTTTGCTTGAAAGGTATGTCCAGGTGATGGGTTGTGATTCTCTTGGTTACGTATCGCTTGTCTTTGACATGATGGGTGGCGAGGGAAGGTGTGCTTTGCTATGTATTGATTAGATTGTACTGATTGACTAGTGCTATGCTCCCGGATGGGTGATGAGATGATGAGGTAAGGTGTATGGTAAAGGACGGGCATTCGTCGTGAGTATTTTTCTTTTCTCATTAACTGAATTAATAAATCAACCAATCATCAAGGTGGGCTCATATAAAGGTATCCAGGAAACATCAAACATGAAGGAACATAAGGTAAGGATAAGAGGTAAACTCCATGATGGACCTCTGGGCAACATTGCCCAGTGGCTTCGAAGGGGAATAGATGAGAAAGATGGTATAAACGCCCGCCCTGTGCAGTTGCCGGTCAACCGAGTCCGTCGGTTGGCCTTGAGTTTTTTTTATAATACCGATAACAGAGTGAATATGCCCGATTTACCGGAATTTGGCTCGGCATCGGCCCATAACCTCGCCTTGGCAGACGAGCTCGGCGCTGAATTCACTGCCGTCCAGTGTGAGGTAGATGTCAAAGTATACACGGTAGAAGACTCCCTGAGGGGTATCCATGCGCTCAAAATCGGTTTCCAGGTTCTTGCGCGATAGATCCGATGTAAGTGTTACGACCTCCTTGATCCCTGGTACACAGTTAGTAGAGCGTCGTAAGGAACGGCAGGATGTGTAACTTACGGGGGTCTTTCGTGTATTCAGGGCAGACATCCTCGTCACAGGCGTACAGAATATCCTCATACATCAGGGTTGCTCCCGGCGCAACCTGTCGGAAAAAGCTAACCTTGACCGGCTCCCCGATCTTCACTCTCTCACCCTTCTGCACAAAGATCTGTCGCGTGTACTTGCAGCGATCTCTGCCGTCAAGGCTGGGGACACGATATTGTTCCGGGTGATATCCTTCTTTGAACGGCTGCAATGTGGCCATGAGGTAGTGTCGACGGGCCACACGGTGTGTAATCACACGTTCCGTGATCCCAGCAGTGACAGCGCCCTTAACGATCGCAGCGACCGAATCCATTGGACGGACCACCTTTGATTGATATTGAGGCGGTACATGGAGTTTGATCTGTTGGAAGAGATACTCCGATGCGCCGAATCCACCCACCACAAGAACGTTCTACAATGCTGATTAGTCAAAGGAAAAGCTAGACGAGTAACATTAAAGCATACCTGTAGAGACCGGTTCTGCGCTTGGATGGCGATAATCTGATTCCTGACCAATTCGAGAATACGGTTGACGACGGGCTCAAAACATTGAAGGATCTCTTCGTTGGTAAACGTCATATAGCCCTCCTCGATGCCGGCATCTGGGAAGTCGGCCTCAATGCCGACATCTACGGCCCACTTCTGTCCGTTGTTTCGGAAATCGGCTTTGATCCGATTCTCGAAGTCCATAATACACTTTGCATACACCTTACCTGCCGTGCGGGAACCGTCAGGGAGCTTCATCTTACGGATTTTCGCACGAAGGATGTTGCTGAAATTCCGATTGAGAGCCGTTGAGCCGCACGAGTCACCCGATCCAGCTGTGCATTCGGCAACACTGAACGGTTGTTCCTCCTCAACCTCGTAGGCGATCAAATCCACAGTTCCACCACCACAATCCACGATCAAGATCGCATCACCAACCTTCAAATTGAGCAACCCGGTCTTTGCACAGAACAGAGCGGCAGCCTCCGGCTCGGATATCAGCGTTAGGCGATTATCGTTCTCGTCCCGCAAGAACCCAGCTTGTAAAGCCGCCGCTCGTGTCGCTGCCTTGCCCGCATCATTCCAGATAGCTGGTACGGTGAGGTAGTACCGGATGTTGCGCTCTTCCCGAGTAAACACCTCACCGAGGGTCTTCTGTAGCTGAGCGCGCATCGCCTGTCGTAGCTTGAAGAGGTAGTCGGCGGCCACGTCGATTTCCGACTTACCGGGCGGGAGGGGCGGCAGATTAATCGGATCGATGTAGGTGTTCCCGGACAGCATAAGCTGGAGCTTAAACCATTCGACCTTCTGCACTCCCTGCTTCGGATAGCCCGTGGGGGCCAGCGCATCTGCAATATCAGGGCCCCAACCCACCACTTTCTGGTACTGATCGTAGTATAGGACAGTGGGGATCTGTGTGAAATAGCTTGGTCAGACAGAAGTATTCTCCCTCAAGTGCGGTTTGGATTAATCACCTTCTGTTTAGTATGGGTTCCTGCTCCGGGCCATTCCGTGATGATGTCCTCTCTTGCTTCATTGTTGGTCGCAAAGGCAAATGCGACACCGGAGAATGTGGTGCCAAAGTCAATGCCGACAATCAGCTGGGCCTTACTCCGACCGGCACCTTCAACCTCAACCGCGGGATTCCGTACCCCATATTGGGGCTGGGGCATTCCCTGGCCCATTCCATGGGCGGCGACTGGCTGTTGCAAACCATACCCGGGAGGAGCACCCAAAGGCTGGACCGGCTGTTGCGTATAGTGCAAATTGGTGTTCAACGGTGCGGGGTGATGACTCAACTGCTGGCCTGGGGGCATCGGGCTGGTCGGCCGCTGGTATGTATAGCTGGGGGGTCGCCCCAGAGGGTTTTGATTGTTCATCGGGAGACTCGTCGTGGACGAACTATGGTGAGAAGGTGGGGAACTAGGAGAGGTGGCGCTCGAGGGCGGGGCGACGAGTGTATTGCTTGATGCGTTGGGTGGTGGTTGTTGTTGTTGAACTGGCGCAGGCTGGGCACTATGCTTGTTCCGCTTCGTTCCAAAAGTGAACGATTTAAACCGAGAGCTCATCAGGTCCGAATAAGTGACCACGATGGGGTCAACGGAGTATTAAAGAGACAAGGGAGGGGGGAGAGGGGGAGGGTGATGCAGAGCAGATATAAGACAAAAAGGAAGAAGAGGAGAACGAGTGGAAGAAAAGGCACAAAAGTCAAAAGCGAGAGCGTAAGAAACGAGTGGGTGTATTTGGACAGAGAGGCTGTGCCAACTCTTTGCTTAGGCAGTCAGAAAAGCCTCTCCCGGGTTTACTGTTAGTTTGGGAGTGGGGATGGGGGGAAACACGGGAGGAACACGAGCAAAAGAGATCGTCCGGACAGAGAAAAATCACAGGATAAGGCAATTAATTGGTTCCCGGAGGGACGCATGGGCGTTTCGATGTGAAGTCCGTAGTAACGTAGGAAAACAATGGTGGTTGAAGAAGTAACAAAGAGACGAAGGGCAGCGAAAGGCTAGAAAGGTGCAAGTCACGGACCCCAAAGTCACTGGTTTAGAATGATCATCCCTCAAGATCAATCTCCCTGGAATGCGCACCCCTCGGTGGGATATCAATTCAGTATTTCTCCGACCTGGAAGAGTGGACTGATCTTGTTCATTCAGCCTTATTTGTTTCGAATGGCTGTATGTCTTTCTTTTCTTTTTCTTTTTCTTTTTTTTTTTTTCCGTCGAAAACAAACGTGGCGATTCCGTTTGTTGATTGATGATGCTTACCATGGATGATGGCACATCATCAAGTCATTCCTTCCGCCCCCAACTTCTTAATTTACACATTGCGGAGACAACCGCTGTGGTACGGTACCATACAGGTACATACCACTATACTTTCTCTTGTGTATGTCAGGCAAACGAACTGTATTTAGTAGGGGTATGACAAGTCCCCAAGCATCAAGTTCCAAGTTATCTTTCTGCCATGTCCGATTCAAGATTAGCGGATTCCGCCAAGTTGTCCGTTCCGCTGTTGACATATCTGTCGCTCATTTGACAATACTATATATATATCTACAGAAGCTTCTCCAAACCATAATACCCCTAGCAAAGGAGGTTTTCCTCCAAATTTCCCCAATCCCTCCTGCTCTAACTAATTCATTTTTAATTTTCTCCTTATATTATCTCCCTCTTGAATGAACCCTCAGTCTACAGGAACCTTGAAAAATCAGAATGATGCTAAAAAAGGAAAACCGGCGATGTGCCTGAGGCGAGCCATGGTACGGTAGGATTGACGCCCAAGCAGGGACAGCCTTATGATTACAGCCACGCTGCTCAGCCTGCTGTTGGTCCCACGTTTTCTTTGTCTGGCTGCGGCTGAATGTTGTATCGTCGATCCCTCGCCATGTACCGTACCGTTTCATACAAACTCTAAAGCTTTACGCACCGACCAATAATCAGCGGCCTTGACATTCAGGCAACGAGGCGGACTTTTCATGGATCTAAATATGGATAAGTTTCTCTGCCTGTACTATTCTAAGTTCCATTATGGATTCTTCTTCCGTGCCACCCACTTGGATGGCTTGTAGAGTGGCTGGAGCATACTCTGAGGATCCTGAATATAGCCACACATCGGCCGATCTTCCACTTCCTGCCGCTTCTCAATGGTAAAGCCCATGCGCTCCACAAGGCAAAAGACTTCTTCCTCTGTCAGCTCCACATTACCAGGTTCCCCAATCCCCTGGTGCTCATTGCGGTCTCCTTCCCGCTGGCTACGGTTGCTGCCGTCCTCGAAATGCCATAACAATGGGCCGATATTGACCCACACCCCGTTGGGTTTCAGGCAGTGTCGGATCGTCTCGATGTACCGAATGAGATTGGGGGCTGTGTCGATGAAGAAGACCGTGGCCACCGCATCGTATGCTTCTTTATTGGACGAGTTGCTGTAGAGCACCACGAAGTCGGCTGCGGACATCCCCATCGATCCAAAGGGTGTCTGGTTCGCCTGCGCCTCAACCATGGCTACCCCAGGGTGCGTATCTGGGATCATCACCTTCTGCAGCTGTTGCTCTCTGGATAGGAGATTTGAGAAGTGTAGTGCAAACGGATGCAGCGCATGGTGCTGGGGCCCAGACGTATGGTTCAAGACCCAGCTGCTGGCAAGCAACTGGTGGTATGAAATTTCGTTGCCCTCGGCAGCAAACCCAGCCTGGCAGACTTCAAAGACCAATCTCCCCAAGCCAGCTCCAGGGACTAGCACCTTGATTTCCTCCCCGGAGGCAAGTCTCTCGCCGAACTCATCTCGCAGTTCGCGCACAGCTGGTTCCACGCAGACTTCTCTCTCCGCTTTACCCTCGGAGCTCCAGTCGCGATAGAATTGCCTGATAGTTGAGTGGGCTTTGTTAACGTCTGAAGAAGTCGCCGTGTTATGCCAATTCTGGCGCGGGTCCTCTGGATCGGGGTTCGCCGGTAGCCCAAACGAGGAAAGCCCCGTGGAGAGGATGGCGTCTGCGATATCGGCATTCACATCAATGGCATCATCTACCCGGTTGAAATTATCCAAAATCGAGAATGGTGGCTCCGCAAGCATTTGCCAGTGAGCAGATGGCAAAGCATAGAACGCCTGGCGCCGGCGATGCGTAGTGTTCATGTGAGCAGTTCTTCGATATTGCCTAGCAGAAGTTCAGTCACATAATTTAAGAACAGTCAATCCGATGTAGTCTCGAGACGCCAAAACTGGCACTGAGAGAAAATAGACCAAAAGAGAATATATTAGAGCTCCAAAGCAACGAAATATCCTTCATCTTTTGTCTCTCGCCTCATCTCCTCTCTGTTACATTTCCACATATGGACAGCAATACAATCGAACTACCAACAAGCACAAGTCCATACCTAAAAGAGTCCAACGCAGCAAAGAGAACTCGTCGTTCGTCGGGGTCAGCCAACGGGTCGAAATCCCCTGCCCAACTGCGAACCTCTTCATCATCCTGGTGCTGCGAATCAGAAGGCATGCTGCTGTAACTGGAACCGTCGTGATAACCAAGAAGTACTCTATACAGCTGTGATATGTCCAACACCAAAAGAAACAGTCACCTCCAATGGATATGGGAGGCAGAGAAAAGAAGTATAACTCAGCGTTGATTTTAATATTATGGAGGAACAAAGAATGTGAAGATCTGAGATGGTAGCCAAAGCTCAAAAGAGTGAATAGTGGACCCGCTCTGTTTGGCGGGGAACCAAGAGCGGTACCTCAAACGTCTCACTCATCAATCAATATCAACATTAACAACCACATCGAAACAGAACATCTCGGAAGGAAAAGACTTAGTATATTGCACTCAGCAAATCGAAAATAGATATCTCGCAAAATAATCCATCCTCCAAACATGGCGACAGCAGCGGAAGCACCCATACCGCCTCAAGTCGAAAACGTGACGCCACATGCCAAACCTCAAGAGTTATCATTTCCCCTTCCAAAGGCATTGCATACGACTGCACACGTCCATCTCACATTTTTGGACACATGCGCAACGGTATTCCTGGCGACATCGACACCGGGTGACTCGGCGGGCTCCGTGAAATCGATGGGGAGCTTCGTTTACGCTATGCCGGATGTGAGTGCTTTTTTCTTCTTGCATTAATTTGTGTCGGACTTTTACATAGTTGGGTTGGCGGTGTGAGAGTATATCCATATAGACAGAAGACTATACGGAACATTGGAATACCATGTGTCCTCGAATGTTTATCCAAAATACGGGACTCTTTCTTCCATGTATACCATCTTTACACTTTACACCACACGCATCTTGTGCCACTACAAAAGCAACCATCGATCTTGAAACACCCTGCTCATCCAATCAAGTTGAAACTCAGATACTCACACATACCAGCGCTCAAACCCTCGCAGCACTATATCCACAACGCTATATAGCATCCCTGGAAGTGTGGAATACACGACTCGGATCGCTAAGATCCTAGCTCGTCGTATGAGGATCCCAGTCTACGTGGGCTGCAGCATTGATCCGACAGCGCTCGGGCTATTGGTTGAGGAAGAGATGGAAGGGTTGACGAAGATAGTGGAGGTAATTATGCAGCGGTGGGAAGAATCCAGGAAATGAGAGAGTGAATAGATCATATGGTTGTGGGTGGTTGGTAGTATTGATGGAGTAAGGATATCGGTCTCTGGAGTCAGCATTTGCCCTTTTTAGTCTTGATAATATCTTCTTTTAATAACTCCCTGGCTTTTTCCCTCATTTTCATTTCAATGGTTTCATAAGTGGTGTTTTGGGTGTGGATGGATGGGGTCCAATTTGGGATGGAATTAATTTATGAGAATTCGTGTTAATCATTCTCGTTATCTAAGACGCTCAAAGTTGAGATTCCGGCTATAGGGAGGCACAGCCCCCTCAATCAACATCTATCTTTCATAGGTAGTCTAAGATTGGGCTAGTGATCGTAAGGTGCGTATTACTATTTGCAGCAACCGAGAATACGCATCTCGACCGAGAAAATTAGAACAGCAAATTAACATCCACCTAATCGGATCTTATTGAACCAAAAGGTGCCCCATAACGACTCTAGTACCTGGACTTGCGTATCTAGTCTCCGAGCATCCGAACAAGCATGATGCCGAGAAAAGAAACAGTAAAATTATAAACTAATAGAAACAATCGAGAGGGACAAAAAGGGAGAACGGAGAGGAGCAAACAAAAAGTAATCTCCATCCAAAGGAATCCATAATTAATTTACTTAGGGCTACCGATACTACTCTAATAACTTAGTGCATCTAAGCCACCAACTCCGGTTGGACGATTCCCCAAGCTTGCAGTTCAATGACAGATGTCGGACATCGGTCGACTCCGATGCAATTGCGCAATGTTGAAACATGTCCACTTCCTGGGTGGAGTTTGACCATGGTTTCAGAGGCCCCTTGTAGAAGGTGGTATTGGATGTATGGACACCATGCGAGCTAAATGCTGCGATTTTCACAGGTTTTGTCTTCCAGTTGGTACACTGAGCACTCATTCAACCAGTCTACAATAAAGAACGGTTATATTCGGAATCGCTTCCGAGGCGGCGGGTTTAGAATCCGTCTAAGGTAGTGGAGCGCCAGGTTCCATGTGTTCTCTCTCTCTCTCTCTCTTTTTTCCCCCTTCATTTAGGTGTGGGTGTTTTTCGGCGCCTAATATACCAAAATTGGTTGCGTTTTCGTTTTATTATACTTCCCCTTTGGATTAGATATAATTGTGAATCCATAATATAAATGAAAATTAATTGGGTGCAACAGCTCGCTCGGATTTTCCGATTTGAGACAAACATTTGTATCTGAAATGTCAATGAGCCTCAAGAGTGGATTTCCACCACTCACCGTAGTGCGTTCATAGTGAAACCTCCGATGTTGATTCAGAAGTATTATCGCGGCCACAGGAGCTGATTCAGGCGTCTCATTTCGCCTGATTGCCCTGCAAATCTATATATAGGTTGATTGAAAGAGACAACGTAGAAAGCGGGGACTCGGTAATGAAATTCTTATCGTGAAGGCGGGATTGCGTTATAGATTGGCTACTCCCATCGCTCTCCTTGATTGGGACTGACGCCATCGCATTGGTTGAATCGATCTATATCAAGAAGCGACAATCCCCATTCATCCTCACGTGTGCTGTTGCAGCCAAGCGATGTCGCGGTCGCCAGTCCCCATTTTCAAGACCCAATGAAGACCGGTATAGCCTCACAAGTCTCGATCGAGGCTGATAAAGAGGGGGCAAGGCACGGGATATTAGACCAGTCACATTGGGCTATAAGCCAACATTATCAACACGAGGTCGATAGCTGCAGGAACCTGTTTTGCATAGAGGCATGGTGGGATTCCAGACCACGGAATCCACCGATTAGATCTCAACAAGACCATATCAAGCGTTGTAGCCGAAAAAAAATGAAAACAAAAAAGAAAAAGAAACTTAATGAAAAAAAACCCCTCATCAATCAAGCAGGATGGGGTACAGCAGCGGATTGTCACGGGAGGGACCACATGGGGACCGGAAACTAGGCGATCCAATCACAGCTGGGAGACCAGCCTCTAAAAGGATCATTTCCCGTGCGGTCAGCCCTTTTCCTCCAAGCCCAAAAGACGAGGTAAACGGCTGCTAAGTTTGCCTAACGAATGAGGCGCCACACTCGACAAGATCCGATACTCGCGCTAAGTAAAAAACACACCCGAATCCCGAGGTGCGTGCGGCGCAGTCCTCTGTGCTGTATGTGCTAAGACCAGGCTAGAAATCCTGGTGCGCCCGTTTACCCTTTTCATTGTCCATCCCATGATCAATCTTTATCAGAGCGGATCTCGGTTAAGATTGATTCCATTTGGTGCGCGGGCGCTGGTGCTCCGAGTCAGGTTGAGCTGGTTGTCGTAAAATTCACAAACAGATCAATAAAAAAAATATGCATTTTGATCACTGTAATCACAGCTGCAGGAGATAGATAGTTACATCCCTCGTCTCCTGGGCAGGGCTCATTCGCAGTCCATGTGTCCCAGTGAGGAGGTTAGCAGCGCAGGGATCGGTAGTCGTCAACTGATGCCCTAAATCATGCCATTGCTATCCAGTCAGAACTACCGACGGAATCCTTCCGTTCAGAGTAGCAGTAGCCAACCCAGTCAATTTGCGGCACTCCTATGCGGGCAGTATGGATGGATCTAGTTGACAAAAGGCGGGTGTGAAAAGGCTTTAGTAAAGTGATAGGCCTTGAGGTATAACACCCCGCCCAGACTGCCCAACCAATCGCCTGAAGGTCAGTTGGTCTACAAGGCCACAGTTGTCGAATAGGCACCGTCAACAAATCTAGGATATATTCTCCGAGAGGTTTTGGATAGGGTACCGGACGTGCACGGGAGCTCGAACTCAGGTTGCCCCTCTTACAAAGCGCAGTATCATTCACCGACAATGTAGAGGTTAATGAAGTACTATCCAAGGGTGGTAGCATGACTTAATCATTAGTAACTAAATACTACGGTTGATCACTGATCGCTCGATGTTGTCAACAATAAGGAGCCAGTGGAAAGACACTAACAAGCCGCTATCACATTGCCAGGCAGTTAATGCCGGTTAGGTCAGGCCGAAAGCAAATGCATTATGGGAAGAACCTTAGCACTCTGATCGACACCAGCCACAAGCAGGAGGCACCATTACCCACCACGGAGGTTCCCGTGTGTTACGACGACTAAGAATCATACTGAAAATAACCTCGACGACCAGGTCGTTATTTTGCTCGAGTATTCTAGATTCACATACATTTATAAGCCGACCTGACGAGGAAAGTCCCCCAACCTACCCAAAAGCTTACGTACCCCGTAGTACAAACCATATTTCGTTCAAGGACGTTATTCGGACGAAACACGGAAAACGTGGTAGCGAAAAATCTCCGGGGGATGTTCGATGGGGAAAGGGTCTTTTGTAATTTTCGAAGAACCGCGGTGATTGGAAGCGGGGATCATATTTCGGGGTTCAAAAAGTGACAATCATCGCCTGTCCAGTAATAAGTCTTGCCAGGAGTCCATTCTGGATTTGTTTCTATTTTTTTTTTTTTGGTTCCATTGGGAGAGTAGGCAATTTCGGGAGATCCCAATGTCGTAGGTTGTGCTGGGTCGCCACAGATTCATTTCATTGATTATGAGCAAGTTTATCATCAGCCGGTCCGCCCGCTAAACTCCTCTCAGCCGTCCCGGTTGAGCTTCCGGGCTGGCCTTCCATGTGGCCCGTCCAATGGCTGCATCCGAGGAAGGATTCCGAGAGATCGTCACAACGACCACAATGGGGGGGAAAAGGTTCTCTACCTATGAGATTCCTTGGGAGAATGCTACAATAGAGCTCCTTCTGAACCTGTTCGGATCTCGGAACACAATTTCCCTATTAGGTCTTAGGTCCTTTATTATTATTCTTAGGATCCTTTATGAAGGTCCCATGCAATTTCAATCACTGCCTACTCTGTGCTGTTTATCGTGTGCAGGTATATTAGGATTACTACAGCCGTATTAATTTTAGCTTTGACAGGCAGCTTCAGGGGTGCACTGACTGCACGACACAGAGAGGCATCGGTGAAGAGAATAAGATAGAACCTTAAACCGTATTATGGTCCAATCAAGCCATCAACCTTGGAAACCCACAGGAATAATGAGGTAAAGGCCTTTTGACTTTCCTTATTCCCACCCAATCACTCATAGATGCCGCCGTTTTTGTTTTTTTTTTTGCTTCTTTTTTTCCCCTTTTTCCCTTTTCTCCTTCTCGATTTCATTTGGTGGCAGTACCCCCTCAGTGCTGGGAAGAAAGTAGGCAGCATCGGCTCTTTAATCTCATGGCAGGGTGGTTGCCTGTAATGAGGTACATGGTCAAGCAAACCCGTTGCTAGATCCTGTTTATTTATAGCTCTCAGGGTATACGGACTACTCCGGAGTATGTTCGAGAACGCATTTAAGCTCAGTATGAGCAATTACGGTGACCAGGATTATCCCTCAACATTAATTCATCTCATTATGATACTTATACCGAGAGTATCTTAGTCCAGAGTGGGACCATTGGGACCATGAACCGTGGGAAAAGGCGACAGACACGTTACCTTTCAAATTCCTAGCACACTAACACTGCCACTGCCGATCTCGGGCTACCTTGAGTGTTAGCCAGAGGTCTGATCTCTCATTTGTTGCCTAAGGTCAAGGAAATAAGTAGTTTTATAAAGAGTACTACAATTGTTGATGAGCACGGTAGAAATAGATCACAATGGTAGTAATATCTCCGTAACTCGAGATATACGAACGCTGCGATCTACAGGTATGAACACTGTCGGGTTTCGTCGCGGATTTAATAGATTTCGGGAAGATATCCGAATCTCTCATCGATTTTAATATATTAAGTGGATGACAGGAACATACTTCTGGAGCACCATGTACTGTATGTATGTACTGTACATTGTATGTTTCCTTCACCACCATGGCCGTTTCACAGTGAAAATAAGGATACCTCGAGGTATAAACCTCGTCCGCCACCAAGATTTAATACCCCTCTTTATACCCCAGTGTCCCTTTACTCTTTCTCTTCTTCTTTTTCCCACCCCCTCTCTGACTCTTACTTTGGTAATTTGGGGGGGAAGAAAGAAAAATGAAAAAAATGGGGGGGAAAAGAATAGGAAAAGCAAGGAAAGAAAGAAAAAAAAGGCTAACGATCAAGCTAAGCGACACTAAATCCAACTAAACCAAAGAAAAGATACTACTCCGGAGAAAAACTCAAAAAGAAGGCCTGTCGGCAGAAGATTCCTGAGAAAGATAAATTCTGCAGTAAGCTCCAATTTACTTAATCTCCACCTTCCTCACGATCTGATTTGAGTAGGAGCCGGTGTCGTTTCAGCCCATGGTTAGAAGTAACTGGGGTCAGCCGAGAGAGTTTCGGAGTCGCTTCCTGGCTCTTGAACGAAGGAAGACCCTGGAGAATGGAGTCCGTCCCGGCCGATTACTTAGTAGGCGTGTCTAGGATAAAGTACTTGACGCATTGAGCGCGTGGCATTGGGAAATTAATTCATCATGTCGATCGATGTTCCTTTTAGGGTCTATGATATCGCAAAGAATTCTTCTTCTGGAGATGTAGTTTCTTACAAGAAATTCCTAGTAAACGAAGAGAAAAAAATTTGAGGGACACCAGAGCAAGAGAATGAGAAATAGAAAAATGAAATGAAGTAAAATAAATACAGAAGGGAAATTTCATCATCATCATCCTTATTTCTTCACCCCCGACGGTTTGATGCTTAAATTTTATTATTATGTTATTTTCTGTTCTTTTTTACTTTTTCTTTATTTTTAAAATTACCACTGGCCATCATCACTATAATATCATTCCATACGGTCATTCTTCTCCGGTAACCATTTTTTGCTTTTGCCTCACTCTCTCTCTTCCTTCTCTTCTTCCCTTCCTTTCCTTAATTCCATCCCTCCTCTCTTCCTCCTTGTTTCTAGAAGAAGCATACTTCCCACGCTGGGACCCCACTCCTTTTTTCAACCGATCATATCCCATCATTGGCTCTCACACAACCCTTCACGGCGACCTCGGTATTTAGCAAACTGCTCGGTGGAGAAATTTTGAACGAAACAAAGTAATGGTTTAACAACCTCCATCTATCCGCAAACAGCGCAATTCATGTCGACACAGGCAGCAACGTGAACTTTAATTTCTCCCCGACTGAACGACAACGACCTAACTTATCGTACGGTGCCTGCCCGTTCGGCTAGGTAATAGAAGTATCCATCCGCTCTGCGTTATAATCTCCTCTATTATATTACGTTACTGGGACTATACCGGTTGCCTCAGGCGTCAACCATCGTCCCAACTTAAAGTGATACACTATCCCAATTGGCAACTCACTCGCCACCACTCGGGATTTCTCCCTTATCCATTGGTTTCGATCCGTCGGGATCTCAATTCTTGCCCTCCGTTCTTCATTTCAATCATTGGTAACTTGACACGCTGGACTAGTGTCGTAACCATATATACAAAGGAGAAGCCTCGAGCTTCCCATTACCATCCGGCTTGGGTGGATTCGGGGGTTGCTCCATCTTTTCTTGTTTTTTGTTTCTCTTCTTTGTTTTCTTGTTTCTTGTCTCCGCTCTATTGAGAAACTTTGAACACAAGGGGATAAAGAAAAGAAAGAAAAGGAAAGAGAGAGGGAGCCATAAAAAAATAAGTTAAGGTTGCACGTGTCGGGATTTGTTGGGTTGTCACTCCTTTCCACTCGGAATCATTTCGCCCTTCGCCATACTTCACCCATTAGTATTTCTTGTTCTCCCTCTATGAGTTGGCGTTCGGTGGCTCGAGATGCAGACGCAGTATTTCCGTTCGCCGAATAGCCAAGGGCAACCGGGCGTTTCCTATGAGTTGCCGCCGGTGCAATCGGTAACGTCTCCCTCAGGTCCTTTTCCACAGGCTGGCCCTCCACCTACTCTTCTTTCCGCTCCGCCGAGTAGACCCGCCAGCGGATTGAGAATGGCTCATCTTTTGCAACCCCTGCCGCACCAGATGGCAAACCCTCCCCCGCCTCCCCCTCCTTCATCATACTCACGATCCTATGAATCAAGCGGCTCGCCGGCCGAAGGCGCCTCTATTCTTCCGGATGCGCCACCGCTCAATGGTTCGGCCCCAGGGTCGTCGGGGCTTCTTCCTCAGCCCAGTGGTGCCGGGCAGCAGCAGCAAATGCAGCAGCCGCTACAACAAAAGAGAGCCTATCGTCAGAGGAGGAAAGACCCTAGTTGTGATGCATGTCGTGAGCGCAAAGTCAAGGTACCGAGTTTTCGCCGACGCCCCTGTCCTTTTGGCTTAAGATCATCCAAGGCGGTTTTGTTAACTTTCCCCGGTTCAGTGTGACGCTTCGGAGTCGTCTAGTTGTACAGAATGTACAAATCGCAAAGTGCGATGCCAGTTCACGAAGGAAACTAACAGGCGCATGTCGTCTATCAAGTTTGTACCACGGCTACCTGTTATAAAAAGCTTTGTCGTTCTAATTGAGTCATAGGCAAGTACAGGACTTAGAGAAGCAGCTTCTGTCGACCAAGCAGCAACTACAACAACTGCGATCGGGCATGTTGAGGCCGGACAACCTGATTGATCTCGATGTTGATGGAATCGGACAGTCTCAATTGAAGCTCCCTGACATTGGGTATCGACCACCGCGCCAGCCAAGAGCTCCGGTATCACAGGACCTAACCGAAGCTCGAGCCAATCTGCGAAAGTATGGAAGAGGAATTCTAAAAGTACCAACTCCGTATCGCCAGCCGGGTCCGAAATCGCTCCTGACGTCCGACCCTCCGCCGCTTCCCCCGAAGGAGGTTGCAGACCGTCTCCTCATGCAATACTATGAATGTATTCATTCGGTTCTGCCAGTAGTTCATTGGCCTAGCTTCGTGGCGGAGTATGAAAAGGTTTACCAAACTGGCTCCCTTCTGGGCCTACCTCGAGAATGGGCGGCCGTTCTGTTTGGTATCTTCGCTTGTGGTTCACTTCACACACTGGAAAAGACTAGGGAAAACGACGGTAAAGAATTCATACGAATCTCCTGCGGGGTCATCGATGTCTGGAAGGACAATTTCACCTTGGATCAAGCCCGAGCCGCGCTTTTGGTTAGTCTTTTTCTTTACGAGGTCAACGCAAAGTCAGCCAGCTGGGTATGGATCGGATCTGCAGTGAGGGTTGCGCAGGAGATAGGACTGCATATTGAGTCGGGGCCGTGGTCAGCCCTCGAAGGGGAAATGCGCAAGCGGGTATGGTGGGGGGTGTATGCCTGGGACAGGTGTGACTCAAGTCCCCCATGACACAAAGTTCCGTTATATTGACTGTTATCTCCTTAGGCTTCTCGCCCTGGAAATGGGAAAACCAGTCCTCATCAACGATCAAGATTGCGATGTTGATCTTCCTTGTCCAGTCGACGAACGGGGTATTTCAGAAGGTGGCATTGTGGCGGAAGGCCAACAGACTACTCCACTCCTGGCCACTATACATGTCGTTCGATCAATTGGTCAATTGGTCCGGACGTTGAGAAGCTCCACGATCAGCCCGGCAACCCTGGAAATATTCGAGCGACACTTTCAAACTTGTCAGGCCACGTTTCCCCCGCAGTACCATCCGAAGTCCGACCAATACCTCGACCCCCGCTCTATCCTCCCACTCATCTACCTGCAAAACGCCCGTCTCATCCTCTATCGTCATAATATTTCCCCTTTCTGTGCCTCTGAGGTCCGCTCGTTGGCGCTTGATTACTGTGTTTCAATCTCTCAGGACACTGCTCACCTCCTTTCACGCTGCATGCGGGCTCCTTCGGGTCCTCATGGTTACTCTTCGCCTCCTGGGGATGATGACTGGCGGCCTTTGTTGGCGTCCTCTGCGGGAACTGTGCTCTGCACCCACATCTGGCGTTGTGTGCTAGTGTTGCTATTCCGCCAGGAATATGATGCCGCACTGGTGTGCGTCCGGGCAAGTGCTGTGGTTGGAGACTCCCGAGCGGTCAATGCGGCCTGTGGGCGGTACATCGCATTTTTCCTGAAGTGCCTTGTGGACCGGCTACGTCACCCCGACGGTGAGGATCTTGAGCGAGACGAAGAAATGTTGGCATACGTGTCGGGCGACATGCAAGGTACAACTGGTGGCAGCTGGGTGTGGCAAGGCAGCGAGACTGGCTCTCAGCTGGAGACATTGACTGACTTCGGTAGTCCTGTCCCAATGCCACACCCCAGTGCCCGAGACAATTTGTCTACAGGAGAAGTAGAAGATTGGGAAGGGTGGGACTGGGTTGAACAGACGGTTCAATATCTAATCAGCCAGAAGCAAAAGCAACAGCAGGAGTATAACAGAATGGATGTGCAGACTAGCCCTGGAGGTGATGAGCCAGCACCTCAGCCACAGTCGACCTCATCTCATTCGCGCATGACAATCGCAAGCATCATCTAATACCACGGGATCTGTCGCTCATAATTTGATACTTTGCGGCTCTCCCGCATACCCTTGTCTCCATATCGATACCCACTCTAGCGGCGTCAGCTTGTGAAAGACCATGAAACATCGTCAGTTCATATAAAGCGGGCCCTGAGGACCGGCTTAGAGCAGTCAATACTCTGCAGATTAAAAACTTACGAGACAAACCAAGGACACAGGCGCCCAGGGCAGCGACGGCTTTCTTCGCCAGGGAGGAGGTGGACTGTATTATCTATTTGTATTATCTGTCTAGATGATGGTCTGGGGTTCAGTGGAGCATGTGAAACGAGATATGTCTTACGACCGAATCTTTGATATCCATACGATACGTTTGATTACATTGAGCATACCATCAAGATGCATTTCTGTGTTGTAAAATTCACCTTGTCTTACTAGACAAATAGACTATGTTTCATATACAGTGACATCATGATTTTATTTTGACCTCTATACATTAATGATAGAACCTTTCAATCCACCCTCATACTGCATATTCCACAGATCCTTGAGACCCTTGAATACTACGATGATAATTTAGACTTCCAGGTTAATACTCCGTCCAAACCGCGCATACAGCGCCACCTTCAATTGCTGCAATTCGTCGCGCAGATCGCTCAACTTCTCCTCCAGCCCTGACACCTCGGAGTCGATCTGCTCCGTCGATGAAGACAGGAGAGATTGAGCATCAGCAAGGGGAAGTTGGAAGAAGGAGTCCCCAATCTTGTACCTGTTCGAGTCAGAGCCAAAAATACTTTGAAGCAGGAAAACCGAGTCGAAAATTAAAATAAATGAACACTCACGGCACTAGTTCATCCTCATCGGCCAGTTCCAGCTCCATAGAAATCTCCTCGAGATCCTCTTTATCTTTCTGCGATATAGACATCATAGGTCAGTGTGCGGACCACAAAAGCCATGATAGTATCAACGCATCGCTTCCCGGAGCCAGTGACTCGAAAAGAAGATATACAAAAACGCAAACAACTACACGGGATAGGCAAAAACGAACCTGTTTGGCCTTCAACTGCTCCTCTAGCAGCGTCTCACGTTGATGAAGACGACTGAAGCGGTTGATCTTCTCCTGGTCTTCGCGACGGACCTCATTCTCTTCGCCTGCCGCGGAGACTTCGTCTTCTTTCGAGAGCTGTGGGGTGTTTGATTAGCTCAGCTATGTTGGACCGGGAAACTTGAGCCGACTTGCCATGCGATGTTGCATCATTTTTGCTACTGGGTTGTCGGTTTTTATATCTTATAGTACAGGGGAGGGGTGGAGGGTTTTGTGTCTTGATAGATCTTGAGTTTAATTTGGTTTGATGTGGTTTCGGTGGGTGGTCTGTGCACGGCTGTTCTTGGCGGGGATGTTGTGGCTGATTGTTTTCATGGGCTTGTTACTTGAAGCTTGTTGTCCTCATATAAGTGCGTTATATTGAGACTTCATACATACATCTACCTACTCTTTGTCTATACCCTGGAGAAGAAATTGACTGGCGAATTGTCTGGCCTATGATATTCCTTCTAATTGGAAGAACATGCCCTAGAGTCGGACATACTTCTAGAGGCCGAGAGAGCCTGGCAAACATTCGGAAATAACTCCCAGAAAGTGTCCCATCTATGTGTGTATGTCTTGACAAGACTCATCTCAGGGATTTAGTGGTGTTGATCACTCGTGCTCGATAATGAGTTTGGGGTTCTGGGATGCCGGGGCATGATCCATAGAGTATAGATCGTTCAAATACCTATCTCGCAGTATATAGTGCTACTGTATGGTAAGATGGAGAGTTCTGACGAGGACAAGTGTTAAGGCCTTTATCTCATCTGGCTGGCTAGAGTGGTCGGCCCAGATTCGGAGACTTAATCGGTGTTAACTCGATGGTAGGAGCAAGGGACAGATAATCAAATCCACAAAGTGGATCGAAGAGATGCAAGCCACGTCAAGGGCTCGGAAACTTCACATTGAGTGAGGCCGGAGGCTTTCACACTCAGTAAGGGGTCCTTTAGCTAGATAAACTGTGGATTATGCGGGGCGGTTGAACTGCGCTTCAGGTTCAATATATGTGGTTCTTATGTTGTTTGCTGTGCATCACTAGAGACTACCAAACTACTACGTAGTACGGAGGTCGAAACACGACTATTGGATGTCCTATCAGATGATATGCATATTCAGTACCCCATCTCTCAATTGGTACCCCGATTTGCCCCTAAGGTGCGACACGTCATCTGGAAGACACTGCTTCGTGGCAACGATTGAGACATGCATGCAAATCTCATCCAAATGAGAACATATTAGATCTGGTCTTGCATTTGGTCAAAGATACTAATAGTATATAAAGTCCGCATCTTTCTCTTTCTCCTTCCTCACTTTCATCTGCGATTCACGTTACTTTAATCCCCCAACATAAACCCAACTCATTTATCGCCGTCTACCGTTCAAGATGAAACTCTCTGTATTCGCTGCACTTATCCTTGCTGCCATCGCAAATGCACAGGACATCAGTTGCGCCAAACCTTGTATTCAGCAAGGTATACAGCAATCGGTACCCGAGTGCGGTGTTGATATCAAGTGCATTTGCTCCCATTCGCAGGCGATATTGAATTCTGTCAAACCATGTGTGGAATCAAAATGTGGCCCCGTCTCGGATGGTAAGTATCGCATATCTCCCGTGGATAGGGTGGAGCTATAGCTGATTCCGTCCCAGACAAGATCCATCAAGTGATGACGCAGTATTGCGGGTAAGCTCAGTGTCTGAAGAAGCGGTCATTGAGCACAACTACGATCTAGCACCTTTGAACAACATCATAATTTCTATCAGGCTACTGGGCTGCTTCGAGTGCTGGACTATGACACGGAATCGAAATGCTTTTGCAGGATGGAAAGGCTTGGGACACTGTTAATCATTTCGTTGGATTATATCCAGATTCTTGTTTTGGGGCTAGACGTGTTTATATTCATTCCTTTCGTGTTGCAACTCACATTCGTTTTGGTCTGATGTGTATTCTTCTTTGGACGATAGAAGCTATGTCCAGGGCTGCTGCTGGAAAATGTCTGATGTTATATGCAAGGGAACACCTGCATATTGTGCGGAATTTATATATATCATTTCATGGCCGGCCTTACTGATTTCCCTGTAATTGACTATGATAAAACCTCTCGACGTAGGAAGGTTAAAAGAGAGACTATTCTTCTTCATCTAAGGGTCTAGGGCATACCATGAACGAACTGACGCTCTTGGATAGAGCCCGGGGCCGAGTATACGACAATAACTTTGAATGTGGGAGAATACCTTTTTTTTTGTATTGCTTATTAGTATTTAAAAGAGAGCCATTTTACAATAAGTTGGCCGGATGGTGTAGTTGGTTATCACGTATCGTTAACACCGATAAGGTCCTGGGATCGAGCCCCAGTCTGGTCATTTCTTTTTGCATATATTTTTTTGGTCTTTTCCTTTCTTTTTCCTCTCTTGTTTACTGCGCAGTATAGCGTCCTGGTCTACTCGGTACCCCATGCGTCCTTATATGCATATTCAACAAGAATAACGGTATACTCTGCAGTGTCCGATGAACTAACTCTCACTGCAACCTGTTGGCCAAGCGCCTTGATGTTTTCTTCGCGACTAGGTAGCATCCATGTACTCAGAGACATTGGTGTATTAAGACAAGATGTACTCCGTAGTAAGCTGATTGGTTCTCGGTCGGGTGACATCATCATCGGCCATGTCATGTGCTCTGAGGAAGTGCTCCGGAGTAAGTACTGTAGCAACACAAGAGCATATTTACAACACATTAATAGAGTCTCTCTGTCCTATATGATTCCAGTTTCAAACTGAAACCTGAAGTATATCACTGGATTACTGGAGTGATCGTCTCTGTATCCATTGATACATAATTATACAGCAGCAGTGGTTGACGTTGGTCTCGGAGAAAAGAAAGATAATCCCGAACGACCAAACCAAAGCTATCGTCACCAAACATAACATACCGGCCGTCGATATCCCAGCCTTCCATCAAACCAATCTTCACCACCATATAGCACTAAAACCACAAATATAGGGTGATATCTCAAGAGCTCTTTTTCGAGATTGTATCAAGTCAAGCTCTGTCGCCTTGATCACCGCAGCAACACTGCTATCACCAAACCGTGACGAGGCAATACACCGACGACACCGGCGCCCTTCGTCTACCCTCCCTCCCTCACGTCTACACCATGCGAATACCCGCAGGCCTCTCTTCGATTATCCTCTCCTCCGCCTTACTACCGAGTCTAAGCGCCGCAAGTGGCTTTGACTGCGCTCACATCAACGTCGACGGGTTCAAGTATGACCTAAGTGAGCTGGGCGGTGTCCACTCGCTCTACAATGTCGAGAAAACAGAGGAACACGTCGTGAACACCACATATGTACTGAACATATGTAACATTCTGAAGGGAGCTTCGATCAAGGGCCATCTGAAGTGTGGGACATCGAAGAACAGTATGTTTTTTTTGTTATCCGCTCTTCATACAAAGACTCAACACCCCGGACCTTGGTCATATTCCTAACCACTCAACCCACCTAAACAAACAATGCACAATACTAACTATTCTATATCCAAGTTTGTGGATTCCAATACAAATACCCGGTCGACGGCTCCGAGGAAACAAGCCGTGCCTTCCCCATCGTCGGACTCGAGCATCTTGGCCACGGAACCAAAGACCCCGAGATCACCCGGCTGAAGAAACTCGATCCGGCTGAGGAGGGCCTACTGGTCAAACTTTCCGGAGGCAACTACGTCGATGACGAGGGGAAGAAGAAAGATGCGGGCGCGGTGCTCGAGTTCCAATGTGATCCTGAACGGTCAGGATTAGAAGGCCTCAAGACGGCCGATGAGACCGACGACGAGAAGAAAGAGGCCGAGCGGAGACGCGCAGAAGGTGGGGATGATAAAGAACAGCCGCCTGACGAGGAAAAAGACCGGTCGCACAGTCTCCAATTCAAGAGTTTCGGAAAGGCCGATGACGACTCGTATGTGCTCAAGCTGAACTGGAAGACCAAGTATGCCTGTGATCATTACCTGGAAGGAAAGAAAGGTGACTCGTCTAGTCACTGGGGTTTCTTTACTTGGTTGATTATTATGTATGCTCCTTTCATTATCCCTGATCTATATGGATGCTAATTATGAGTCTCAGTCTCTTCCTCTGCATCGCTGCTTACCTTATCTTTGGCTCCTGGCTTAACTATAACCGCTACGGCGCCCGAGGATGGGATCTCCTCCCTCACGGCGACACTATCCGGGATATCCCCTATATCTTCCAGGATTGGCTCCGTCGGGTGATCAACACGCTCCAAGGATCGGGGTCCAGAGGCGGTTACAGTGCGGTATAATGCCGTGAGGTATAGCGTGGTGGAGGTATTTCTCTTTCGCTCATTTATGTTTTGGGATTGCTTTTTGTTTCTACAGCACGATGGGGCCGTGTGTGCGATATTATCTCGGAAAACCTCTATGAAAGGTAGTTGCAGACTGGGTGGATTGGGCACGTGCATGATAGTACTGTACGATGAATGATATGCATTGGTCTTTCTGGCTTTTCCCTCTATATACTATTACACATTTTGAATATTAGACATTTGGTGCAGAATACGGGGTAGGGTGAGCGGAATCTAATTTCTAACTCTATGGTGTATGTTGTAGTGTCTATGGTATGTTGTAGTGTTGCCGAGGCTGTATAGAGTACCCTACCTGAATCTACTCGGACTTCTACGCAGGGTCAAAAAAAAACAAAACAACTCTGTAACAGCGATGAGACTCAGTCTCCCAATACAACACAATACAACAGTAATTAAAACAGGAAAACCCAGGGTCCAACGCAAGGAGAGTTCAAAAACAAAAGGACAACACGAATGAACGCGGAGTATCAAATGGCGTCATCAGAGCTAATATCTCATCATGATCATCACCGGCATTGAACAGACAAGCAAACAACCCAGGAAACCTAATAAGAAAAAGTGGATTCCTCCTGTCTGTTCTCCTGCAACCTAAATTCCTCCTCATCTCTTCCTTTCGACTTACACTTTCATGGCAAACTGCTTGAGATACAGGTAATCCGCCATGTTCTCATCCACTGATTTACGGATTAGGGCGGCGGCCTCTGGGCCGTACTTCTTGCACCATTCGGCGTCAAATTCCTCTTCGGTTTTCACGGGACGACCCTGGTGAACCTGGTTTAGTGACTGTTTACCCCTCCCCCCTGGTCCAGACGTTGCTGGCTCTATTTGGTTGCTGCGAACTTACATGTTTCCGGGCTGTTAGGCCCTTCGATTCGATGGCATCGTTGTGAAATCCCCTCCACTTCTCGAATGCATCGCACACCTGCTTCTGTTCGGACTCATCGTCCCAGTCCAGCATCGACGGGTCATAGTCGATGCCCACGCTGCGGCAGAACGCCTCGATCATCGCACCCGGCTTCTCGAGCATATCGTCCGCATCGACGACGCAGATCTCCGCCGATTCGTGCGCCGCACCAACCCCGTTGACCACGGGCCTGAGCTTGTTGTCGATCTCGTCTGCGTCCTGCTCCTTCGTTGCGATATGAGGCCCGATCAGGTGGACGCTCCGCAGGTAGTCGAATGTCCGACGGGTCTCGTCGTATCCAGCCTCAGCCGGATCATAATAATAGAACCCGGTGACGTCGTCCAGTGGGGGAATGGTGCAGCGGTAGTATGAAGGGACACTGAAGTGGGGGTCGCGGATAAGGAAGGCAAAGTGGAACTTGGAGAGAAGTTCCTTGGGCATGACGGTGGGGTTACCTGGCTCTGGCTCTGTGGGGTATGGGTACTGGGACGTCTGCTTGGTGCTTTGCCCAGCTTCGACATGACCGTTGGTCTCAGTGCCGACACCACGCTTCACTTTAAGCAGAGATGGCGCAATACTGGCTGGCTTCCCGCTTGGTGGAAGGAGATAGTGGATGATATCCTTGATGAAAACTCTTTTGCCCTGTGATCCGGTAAGTGACTCGTCTTGAAGACCACGACGTGACAATCTAAAGGAAAACAAGAGAAAATCGTGGTTCACTTGCGAGATGGGAATTGAGATCCGACACCTTCGGTGGGAAAAGTGAGAAAAAAGAGGAAAAGGGTTGAGTGCCTCATCTGGCATTTGCAGAAGTCCAGAGGGGACAGCCATGCAGACGTGCTTGAGATTCAATAGGGCACAGGGATTACATCAATCTCATACGCATTCTGAATGCCAATGAGGTCGATCCATCACCGTCCTGTCAGGACGGTGCATTACGAGCCAAAGAAGAGGGAGAGAGGAAAAGAGAAAAGAGCAAGGGTCGGACCTCAGAAGCTTCACGCTCTATTCTATCCATCACGGTTCTGTAGGTTGACTGACTGAAGCCGCTCTCAAGGCGGACCTTCTCGTCGTCCATAAACCTCGTACCCAGTCGTTCTGGGCCATAGTAGAAAGCATCGCCAAATGGCTCATGGATACACTGGATGGTATCCCGGCGAGTCATGAAGACCTGCGAATGTTAGTAATTCCGCCTTTATGTAGTTGGACTAGGAGGGATCCAAGGGATTTATCTTACTCGTTCAAATGCTGTTGAGCATGCGCGCGGGTGAGTAGCGACAAAGATGGGTTTCTGCGACATCTTTGCAATAGTCTGTATCTGCGACAGACACTATCTATTTGAATGGCGGTGAAACGATTCAAATAAGGGCTCTGAGCAATATGGAGTGTACACCAACCGCCAGGGATTTTCACCACAGGCGTAGCTACTGATATCTGGTCTTCTTTGGTTGAAATCTTACACAGAATGGGGGGATGATCCGGGAGGCAATATACCGGAAGAGAAAGCGATGAAGAGAATTCAGTAGGTATGGGGAATGGAGAGAAGATGTTTCCAGATCAGTACTGACTCAGGTCGATAAGGAACTGAGACTGAACACGATAAAAGAAAAAAAACTGGAACTAGGGAACGAAAGATAGGAACGAGTGGGTTCTTATAGATTTTCATAGGGCCGCTGGGTTTGGATGGATGAGGGGGCCCAGAATAAGAAAAGAGAAATTCAAAAATAAAATCGAAAAATATACGATGGTAGCCACTGACGAAGGATACTAAAATAAAATCAAAATGAATTTCCATGATTCTGATTAGTAGAGATGCTATCACAAAGTAAACTACGCCTGAGGATTATTCCCCAAGAAGCAAGTGCAACGAGAGACTACGACATGGATGGCAAACCGAAGGAGAAGCAGCATGATAACTTGCAGATTTAGCTTGACGACTATTTCCCAAATGAAACAGCGATTAAGATACTAATTCACATCCACTTGGACAAACCAGGTGGTCTCTCCGATCACAGATTTTGACACCGGTGCAGGGTAGTCAGAAGTAGTATGGATATAGCTGTTATGATAGTACCTCCACAAGGTAAACGTCCCCTCTCTAGGATAATTCGGATTACGATCTACCAGATGCTCCGCCGCATTGCCTTCCTTTCTCATCGAATCCCCTGCGCCGAGGGGCGCACTTAGGGTCTAGACAAGACACGAAGTGGACTCCAGTTCCTGAACCACGGGCGCATAACGAGGCTCCTGCGCTGAGCGAGGAAAAAAGTGGACAGGCAAGATGCAAGGACGGGCTAGTACTTACGTACCGGAGGGGATCAAGGTTCCAAGGATAGTCAATCATGCCTCGGGACGATATGCTAACAGTCGGCTGCCTGAAGTCATCCCATCCGTCAAAAATCCAGGGCAACTTGGGCCGTGCCCACTTTTGACGTCATGACGAGGCGGATGGAAGATAAAAAAAACTCGAGAGAAAGGGAAAGGACAGGGGATTGTTAGGGAAAAACGTGGGATGAAAGAAAGAAAAAGGAACGAGAGTCGACGATCTTAACGTCGTGGAGTTAATATACAAATCAAGGCGGTTAAGAGGAAAAGTCGAAAAAATAACATAAATAATAAACTAAAAAAAATCGAGATTGAGCCAGATGAGGGATGTTCATTGATTAGTATGTATGGACGGACTAGACCCGAAAATCTCTCAGTCTAGAAACAAAATTGAAAAATAAAACAAACAAAATTCAAAGGGAAGAGAAGAGATGTTAAGAGAGAGAGAGAGAGAAAAAAAATGCCGCGGATAATAAAACTATTCTCATTACCATTATGTATTATGAGAAGAGTTCTTCGCGCATCGTGCAGACCACGCAAGGCGTCCATGGTGATGGGAAAACATGCCGACTGAATTCTCGTCCGTTGTCATGATGTGTCATGGACTAGTAACCTTAGTTTCCAAGGGCAGATGCGTCTGAAACATCCAATGGAGATCGATCGCGGTCCATATTGACCGTTCATGGCACCAGCGGTCGGACGGCATTGGTTATATTTTAAGTTATCGTGCCAATGCAGGTGATCCAGTGTCCCTATCTTGACCGAACGCGGTATAGTACTTTCTCTCCTTGTTGGACGGTTCAATCGCATTCAATCGGATCACGATTCATCCCATCGTGGGGGTAAGAAAAGCTGAGGGACAATCAAGGTTTTAAGTTAGATGGGCAGAAACTCGAGACTCGACCGTCGGAAGTTGACCCAGCGACCGCTACTCCAATCATCGTCGCCGGTTGATAATCGGTCCGGCAGATCATTGGCCTATATGGAGTGGGTGGGGACTTGGAGGTACTCGGAAATACTGAACAAGGTAGGAAGCTCCAGTACCATACTGTGTACTGACAAGTAACGCTGATGTACCATCGTACTGGTAGAGTACTGCGTAGATTGATCTCAGGCTGCCAGGCAGTGAAGGCATTCAGGCATTCAGGCAACTACTAGTACAGACTAGCGTAACTAGTTCAAGGTACTTGTAGGAAGCTATGCAGTTGCATATTAGAAGATGTACTACAAAGTGCTGTACTGAGTCTTAAGCATAGCACGTGCAATATGTACATACTCCGTACTCCGTACTGTCATAGTATATAGAATTGTCCAGTTGACACAGGACATGTGTGTTGAAGAGTAGCTGACAGTCGCCCGTTCAATCAGGCCACCACGCCACGTGACGTCAGTGACCAAGAACTCACCCCTCCTTTTCATAGGTGCTTCTGGAAGGCGGTGGAAGTCCCTAGTGTCGTCATGGAGGGCCTAGAAGGTAAAAGGATGCCCAACACCAAGCTATATAGACATCCATGAATTCCAACCACCAGCATCCTTCCCCCTTTTTTTATCAATCATACAGATAACTATAATAATAGTTAAATCAACTTTTTCTATTTCTCTTAGTCACCTCAACCGCCTTAACTAACTTTGCATATATTCGAACACACACAACTGATCAACCCGTTTCACCATGAACGGTGCTCAATTCACAGACAGAGCTAACAAGGCCCTGCTGGATTCCAGCAGTTTGGCTGAACAATACTCCCATTCTCAGATACTCCCTGTTCACCTCGCAGTTGCCCTCTTAAATCCTTCCTTAGATGAATCAAAAGACCAGCAAGTTCCGGCGCACCCCTCACACGATTCCGCCTCCGCCCCTCTCTTCCGCCAAGTCATTGAACGCGCCCATGGCGACCCTCAGCTCCTCGAACGCTCTCTCATGAAGATCCTGGTCCGTTGCCCAAGCCAAGATCCTCCACCTGAGTCCGTTAGTGTCTCTCCAGCACTAGCCAAGGTTATCCGGTCAGCTAGCGAGTTATCCAAAACCCAGAAGGACAGCTTCGTCGCTATCGACCATTTGATTGTGTCTGTCGCTCAGGACTCTCAGGTCCAGCGAGCATTGGCAGATGCCAACATTCCCAACGTCAAGTTACTAGACTCTGCCGTTCAGCAAATTCGCGGTACGAGGAGAGTAGATTCCAAGACAGCGGATTCAGAAAGCGAGAATGAGAACCTCAAGAAGTTCACCATTGATATGACGGCCCTGGCAAGAGAGGGAAAGATCGATCCTGTCATTGGCCGTGAGGAAGAAATTCGTCGAGTGATTCGTATCCTCAGTCGCCGAACGAAAAACAACCCAGTGCTCATCGGTGAGCCTGGTGTCGGAAAAACCACCATTGTGGAGGGGTTAGCTCGCCGAATCGTGAATGCCGATATCCCGGCCAACTTGGCTCAATGCAAGTTGCTTTCACTTGACGTCGGCTCACTGGTTGCAGGAAGCAAGTACAGGGGTGAGTTCGAAGAAAGAATGAAGGGAGTCCTCAAAGAGATCGAAGAGTCTAAGGAAATGATCGTTCTATTTGTCGACGAAATCCACCTTCTCATGGGTGCAGGCTCCAGCGGTGAGGGTGGCATGGATGCCGCTAATCTTCTGAAGCCGATGTTGGCTCGCGGCCAACTGCACTGTATCGGTGCCACGACACTAGGCGAATATCGGAAATATATTGAGAAGGACCAGGCGTTTGAACGACGTTTCCAACAGGTCTTGGTGAAGGAGCCTTCTGTTAACGAGACTATCTCTATCCTTCGTGGTTTAAAGGAGAAGTACGAAGTGCACCATGGTGTCAACATTCTCGACGGTGCCATTGTTTCCGCAGCCACCCTGGCTTCGCGGTACCTGACCGCTCGTCGTCTTCCCGACTCCGCAGTCGATCTTATCGACGAAGCTGCCGCCGCTGTTAGAGTGACACGCGAGTCCGAGCCCGAGGCCCTGGATAACTTGGAGAGAAAGCTCCGACAGCTGCAAATTGAAATCCATGCCCTTGAGCGCGAGAAAGACGACGCATCTAGAGCTCGCTTGGAGGCAGCTAAGCAGGAGGCAGCCAATGTTACCGAGGAACTGCGCCCGCTGCGTGAGAAATACGAAAGCGAGAAGAAGCGCAGCAAAGCCATTCAGGATGCCAAGATCAAGCTCGACTCTCTCAAAGTCAAGAGAGACGAGGCAGAGCGGTCCGGAGATACTGTAACCGCTGCTGACTTGGAGTACTATGCTATTCCGGAGACCAAAGCTCTGATCGAAAGGCTCGAGGAAGATCGCGCAAAAGCGGATGCAGAACGGCGTGCTCGCTCCGGAGACGCTGGAGAGACACTGCTCGCTGACGCTGTCGGCCCCGATCAGATCAATGAGATTGTTGCCCGGTGGACTGGTATTCCTGTCACCAGACTTAAGACCACTGAGAAGGACAAGTTATTGAATATGGAGAAACACCTCGCCAAGTTAGTCGTCGGCCAGAAGGAGGCTGTGACCTCCGTATCGAATGCAATCCGACTCCAACGATCTGGCCTCAGCAACCCCAACTCGCCGCCAAGTTTCCTCTTCTGTGGTCCATCTGGAACTGGTAAGACCTTGCTTACGAAGGCTCTTGCGGAGTTCCTCTTCGATGACCCCAAGGCTATGATTCGATTCGATATGTCTGAATACCAGGAACGCCACTCTTTGAGCCGTATGATTGGTGCACCTCCGGGATATGTCGGACATGATGCTGGTGGCCAGCTGACCGAAAGCCTCCGGCGACGCCCGTTCTCCATTCTCCTCTTTGATGAAGTTGAAAAGGCAGCCAAAGAGGTTCTCACCGTCCTCCTCCAGCTGATGGACGACGGACGTGTCACAGATGGTCAAGGCAGAATTGTCGATGCGAAGAACTGCATCGTTGTCATGACATCCAACCTGGGTGCCGAATTCCTGTCTCGTCCCAGCACCAAGGATGGACGGATCGACCCTCAAACTCGTGAATTGGTCATGGGTGCTCTCCGTGACTACTTCCTTCCCGAATTCCTCAACCGTATCTCTAGCACCGTCATCTTCAATCGCCTCACGAAAAAGGAAATCCGCAAGATCGTCGATCTCCGTCTGGACGAAGTTCAGAAGCGCTTGGAGCAAAACAACAAAAACGTCACCATCGAATGTACAGATGAGGTCAAAGACTACCTCGGCGACGCAGGCTATTCGCCCGCATATGGCGCTCGGCCTTTGGCTCGGATCATCGAGCGTGAAGTCCTTAACCGCCTCGCTATTCTTATCCTCCGTGGAAGCATCCTCGATGGCGAGGTGGCTCGCGTTATCATGCGCGATGGTCGTATCGACGTCTTGCCGAATCATGAGATCCCGGTTGACGAAGATCAAGATATGCTCGATAGTGAAGATGAAGCCATAGCCGAGATGGAAGACGGCAGTGGTGACATGGATCTCTACGAGTAAATTAGCCGAAAAAATAAGGATTATCAGCAAATAATAAAAAGGGGGTGTATGCTTTTGAAGACATGGAATGATGACTGATGATGATAACTTGACTTAATTTTCCCTCTGGCCTGAATATGGATACTGGCGTTTGTTGTCGATATTTCTTATCTTGGACATATTATATGCACTTTGTACACAGCCTTGAAACGATGTGCCTTAATAATAGATTCAGCTGAATTACCTGGATGTATCAATCAAATAATTTTATTCTATACTTTAAATTGAATATACAAACGGTATTGACATTCCAATCAATGCTTCCAAATGGTAATCATCGTAGATGTTCTAAACTTCAGAAAAAAAAGTATTAATGTATCTATACCTATACAACTGACGAATTCCCACTTCTCTCTAACTCCTTTATCTTAAACCAGCTCGCAATCTCCCCCGTCTGACAAAACTCAACTTCATCCCCCCACCCCTTCAACCATGTCAACAGCCGCTCCAACATCCCAATGACATGCGCCATCCCACTGGTATCAGGGTGCATCAGGACGGGAAAGATAGGCTCGTCCTCATTCTCGCGAATCCACAGGAACCGATCCCGCCAGAGGTTCTCGACCACGCGGACATCGGTATAGCCGTGTGAGTTGTGCGTATGAGGAAGGTACTGCATGGGGGTCATATCTTCCATGTACCAATTACAGGGGACGCAGACAAGGGGCCGGCGGTCTTCTGTTGTAGGTGGGATGGGGTGCATCCAGGTCGAGGCGGGGAGGGAGAAATTGATGGGTTGGAGGGGCGGACGTTTGGGGGCGAAGAAAGGGTGGCAGTCGTGGTCTGTTAGGGAAGCGTCTGTTTTTGGATTAAGTTAGAATGGTGGGACTGTCGGGGTGGAAAGGGAGGAACTCTCTCACCGTATTCGAATCCGTACTCTTCTAGTAGGTCTAATGTGGACTCGCGCAGTTGGTATAGAGGTGCGCGGTATCCGACGGGCTTCTTCCCTGTTAGTCTGGTTGCAATGTCGATACACCGCGTCAGCACGTCCCGTTCTTGTTCCACTGTCAGTTGGTATGCTCCTTCGTGGGCGTAGCCGTGAAGTCCTATCTCGCAGCCTGACTCGACTACCTGTTGCACTTCCTCTGGGAAGCTCTCGGCGGAGTGGCCCGGGATGAACCAGGTGCAACGATCGGCTAGGTCGAGCTTTTTGAGCATCCGTAGGAGACGGGGGACGCCAACTTTGGCGGCGAAGAACCCGGAGGAGTAGTCTGCGAGGATGTTGTCGGGGTGCTGACCTGATCGTTGTAGGGGTTTGTTCAGCGTTTGTAGACCGTTTAAAGATGGAAAAGATAGCTTACCTGTTCCTAGCCATCCAGATACCGCGTCTAGGTCAATGGAAATGGCTATCCGGATTTTGTTCCGCTTTGGTTTTGATACAACCCTTGGAATTAATTGGACTGTACTCGACTTGGGGTGAGCGACTTGGTCCTCTGTCTTTTTGACGGCTTCGTTCTCCTTCCAGATCAGGCGACCTTCCATTCCTCCGTCGACACTTAAGCACTGTCCTGATATGTGTCCCGCCGCGCGGTGAGAGGCCAGGAAAGCCATTGTACGGGCTACGTCCTCCGGCCTTGCGATTTTCTTTAGAGGTACACTACTCTAGTTAGCGAGGATCCATGAGGCGCGGCAGTAGGGGATTGAACGTGAGAATCATACGTAGCCTGGGCTTCTGCCCACATCTCCTTCGGGTCGTCGAGCCTTCCTTCTATCAAGGGTGTATCTACCCATCCAGGCGCAACAGCATTGATTCGGGCCTTGCTATTGAGGCGAACGATTTCATTCTTCACACTGCGGATCAAGCCGTACTGCAAGGCAGATTTCCCAGATGCGTACTCGGCATGGCCTTCCTGGCCAAACTTTCCCGTTTCGCTTCCCGTTACTACGATAGCTAGGTTATCCAGTTCTTTACCAAGGGTCTGTTGAGATGCACGTGCTGCTCGCAAGAAATGCTTGATTGTCAGGAATGTTCCTCGGACATTGACAAGGTATGTCTGGTCCCAGGTCTCTACTGGCAATTCCCAGATAGGATAGTCTTTGCTTTCATCTGTGATACCTGCATTTGCGATCAAAATGTTGATAGGCCCGAATCGTTTGCTGGCCTGCGCAATATTAGATTGGACGGATTCTTCGTCCGTGATATCACCTTTCAGGACGTGTAGCCGGGAGTAGGGCTCCCCTTGTATATCAGAAACCTCCAAGGCTTGGATGTCCAGTGCTGTCACTTTGCACCCCTGATCTATATAAATATTATGTTAGATCATGGAATGTGCCATTCATTAAAAAAAAGAAGAAAGAACACAAATGCATGAGATGTGGAACGCAATGATGGGAATTAGACTATCCACCTCTCCAGCTTCTACCGTCAGAAGGCATGGTGTAATGGAGGTAGTATACAATCGCGTAATGTAGATTCTCAATCGCCATATTTAAGTAATACAACAGCTTACTTGTGGTCCTCTTTGTGCTGGAGTGCGACCAAGGTAAATAAAGCAGTCTGCATATCTCAATCGAGAATATCACAGTTACATCAGTCAACGGTAACGTACCTAAGAATTCTCGCACTGCTTGTTTTCCGATTCCACCAGCGGCACCGGTGATGAAGACATGGAGGCTTTCCAAGCCCAGGAAGGCGGGATATGCCAAAGGCTGCACCGACATACCGTTTAGTCTGCAGCTGTCACGATAAGGAGGCCGTGGGTTTATGGTATTATGAACTAGTCAGATTAGCTACTACTGCCGCGGCTGACATCAGACCAGGAAAGACATACCGAGTGATGTTTATACTCCAGGGTTCAATAGTTGGCTCAAATGAAATAACGGGGATGGATATAGACAAGGTATACCACGTGTCTACGCTGATTGACAGATTGACAAGTTGACGCTGGGAATCAATAAATCTACGAGGCCGCGGGGCAGTCACGTGTGCGTTAACGGACTTCTGTTATTTCCAATATGATGATTATCATTATTTGATTTATGATTTGAATTCTGCGGATTTAGAAAACGCAAGTTCTCACGGTAATTGTCTGTAAATCTACTGTGTTTGTTTGTTCGTATATCGGCTGGCTGCCGACGAGGATTCGGCAGAGCGTAGTTTGAAGTCTCATACATGTAACCAGCTTACCACTCAAATTGAAACAAACCCTACCGTACCCTAACGGGCGATGCGCAATGGCATCAAGTCGAGACTACTCTTAGTCCTCGGTGCTGTTCTTGGCAATATCATTGACTTTGACCGCGTCCGCACTAAATGTTTTAGTTCCTGTTAACTATAGAAGCGGCCTAGACTATGTCAACATTTAGCTAGATTCATGCTATGCTGCGATACAACGGCGCGCTCCACCGTAGAAAAGGAGTACGTAGCATTGAGTGTAATCTGGAATCGCTCCGTTGCAGCTGTGGCATCACTGGTGGAGAAAATGGCCCCTCCAAACACCAGTTCGTCGCCAACAGAGTTCGTTGGGCTTAACACTGACTCGCACTAATACCTACCCATGGAGTTTCAGATAGATTTTCTCGAAATTCAAACAGTGAGCTGGTTATAGACCAATCTTGCCAAGTCAGGAACAGTCATTTTGGGTATATTGGCATTACGACGATTTTGATTAAAACGACAGCCCTAAAAAGGCTCATTCTCCGTTTCGATCTAAGGTACGCTAATTAGGAGATCATGAGTTATTTGTTTGACTTCCCTTTAGATAGTGACAATTGGGTCCTTGAAAATTACTGAGGTCTGAATCGTTGATGGCAAGCGAAGTATGCTGTACTTCGCAGTACAGTCTCTGCATCTTCAGGGGAGCTCATTGGCCGCAACGGGGAAGGTACTGTGATTAGCAACCCTCACTATAAGGTATAACAGGAATGCAACTCCTCTTTTGGGCGCAGAAGCTCTACATAGATGGGAGACTGGCGTCGCTTCAACCGTTTCGTCATGGGAAGGTTACTACGAAGGGCAAAGACGATTACTATATGACAAGCGACATTTGCGTAGTCTGCTCCGTCATTCCTGAAGTATTCCTGCATGATGTAGACGAGAGTGACAGTCTATCAGCTATAGTCAAGCTTCCGCGCATCTATAGTATCAACGGCGGGCATTTAGAGTAGTTGTAGTAGTATAAAACGAGCTCGAGCAGTCTGTAATCCTTCCATGACTGAAATAGAAATCTTAACGAAACGCTAGAGGAGAACTTGAATGAAATATGTAAGTATCTCGTATTCAACAAGCACGATTGCTTGGCTTGATTTGATATCAATCCGCCTCTTTGCATAATGAAGTATACACGGCATGCTACTCCACCGGTCACCACCCGCTGGAGACTGCAAGTACATACACACACCGACCTCTGGATTCTCCATTGTTTTGTTCTGCATTCTCGGGAGGTGAGCTGACTCGGCAAACTCCCGACTTGTACTGTAGATCTTAGAACGTTCCGTTAATGGGAGTAGGGAGCATTATGGCACGACACAGGTAATTCTCGCCATATACTTCTCCCACCAGGCTCGACATGATCCGTGGAAAGGGTAATGGAGCTGAACACTGAACCAGCGAAAGTGATTTGGAGACAAACTGCGATCCTTTCCCGAAAACAGTCATTTGCCGAGTGGGGACTAACATGACCAACCGTGGGCAGGATGATATGTGATCACTCTTAGGCACTGAAGGCCGGTGGGACCTCGACGTGCTCTACGTCGGAGTATGCACCAATGTCGAGTATACCCCATACAGCCGTGGAACAGGACACGCATATTTTACTTTGGTTGCCGAGAGGCTTTTTGTTTAACTTTGTCAGCTGGGTATTGCGGCACAACCCAAGGTTACTACAATCGATGACAAGTCGCCGATGAGAAATCCCGGCTAGTATCCGTGCCTGCTTTTTCTTTCCCCTTTTTAAACTCAAGCTAAACTCAAGCTGAAAGGTAGGAGACTTCCAACCAGCCACTTTAAGCTTTGAAGATCT